TGCGATGTGTCAGAAAACAACGAAAACCGATGAAATGCAAACTTCGAGGAGAGACACACATGCCCCACACCCACAACCTGTTTGACCTTCCTTTCGGAGCATCACACTACACGCGTCCTTTGAGAGCTCTAGAAAGCTGCACCTAGGGAAGGAGCATCCCACTTACCCCACTTACTATCTTGTACACTCTGACGAACACATCACATGGAAGTGGATGGCATGGCCCGTTGGATGGCTATTCTCCTCCTCTACAAACAGGTGGTTTTCCACTTCCATGTGATGTGTTCATCAGAGGGTAACTGGTTTAAGCTTCTTTTCTGTCTGGTGCTCTCATCTCTCCACCACCTCCCTTGGGCAGCCACCCTCGGATGGTCCCACCTGCCCAGTGCCATCATGTTATTTCTTTCTGCGTCCGCCTGGGCAAGACCGAGGGGGGCATGAGACCCTGAAGGAATTCCAGTCAAACAGACGAGGCTTTTCAGCCGAATCACGGGCCATCTTCACACAACCACGGACAGCCAGACCTCGCATTAACTTACAGTACAGTACCCAATGACCCCTCAAATCACTCCCAATAGTGGAACTGACAGTCAGCTCCTGACATGGACGAGTACACCATCCAGCCTTGGTGAGGAAATTCTGGTGCGCCTCAGCTGGAAGATCTGTCCACAAGATGCAGCGCAAGTCCAATCAGCAAAGGCAGGTTGCAAGTATTCTGCTCTGCTCGTCGGACTGTGCGGCGCTAGAAACACGGCATTCAGTTCGGAATAGGTTGCTAGCTCAATCAGCCCTAGGTTGCAGGTATTCTGTTCCTTTCCTAGAGTCATGCCCGCATCTACACTAGATCTAGGACTTCCTTATGCATTGGTGGTGTGCGCGCTGGTTTTCCACCTTGGCCTATGGCCTTCTTGGCATCTTTGTGCACCTCTGGGGTGAGGTCAACAAAGGATCAGCAGAATTGCATGGCCAAATGCCATGCATAGTGACTAAGTCGTAGCTACGGACTCCCCATCTGCATACCTGTGTTGATTCCCAAAACAATCTGTCTGCTATGCTGCACCCCAGAAGCGTGAAATGATGAAACATAGATGCGCTCAGAGTGAGGCATCAAGTCAATTCCCTGGTAAATGCTATCAAGTACTCGGCGTATGTCATTGCCCCCTTAAAGCAGATGACCTCACGATTTCTGTACACAGAGCGTCCAGTGGATTCCGACGTGGGATTCACCACCAGGGTGTGGTACCTTTCAGGTGGCGTGGCCCCAGGAATCTCAACAAGCTGCTTAAGGTCTGCGTTGAAGAAAATCTCTTCCCCACTAAGGGCGTCTTTCGTCGGGCGGCTTTTGTCCAAACCTTTGGTTTGAACGCAAGCACCGCACACGACTCGCACGACGAAACAATAAAAAACATCCCTTTCGGGATGCGTGTTCTCACCATGGTACTAACGGGCGTGAAGTTCTTCAAGCCCTGATGCCTTATGATGTGGATCAGGACGAGCATACTGGTCGGCTTTCTCGGGGTCCTCGGCAAAGTAGCAACCTGCACCGAACATTCCCTTCTTGGTGACTTTGTCATCGAAGCCGCTGTGGAGAATGCCAAGCACAACTTCTGGGCTGCACCCATGAAGCAAAAACCTCTCTCCAGTTTCGCGGAGGTATGTGGATCCCGGCAAACTCTTCGATGCTTCCTCACAGGTCTGAAGAAAGGAAGCAACAACCAAGGGGTCACCACCTGCGACATTTCAGCCCAAAAATGACCTGCTTAAAAATTGCGGGATGACCACCGACAGGACGTAGAGATGGAACTAGACTCACCAAAACAACAAAAAAAGAAAAAGGCCCTGGTTGGGCAAGCTTCTTCCAGCTTGCTCTGCCATCGTTGAACTGGCACCCCTTGCAGGCGAAGTCGTTTCATGGCCTTTTGGACCTTGGCTCGTTCCACTGCGTAGGCATCCCAGCAATCCTCATGCTCAATCCGCCAGGCGCAGTGGACGCGCAGGTCGTCGTACTTCCGGGGGTAGCTGTCGGCATCTCGACCCCTGCAGCTCGGCCGGATGGTTCACGACGAACATCGTCCTGACCAAGTTCGGCGGTGGCGCAGCACGAACGAGCAAGTGTTGCTATTAATACTTCGGGTCAAACCGGGCATGGTCAATCTATTTATAGTGGCACTTCTAGATGCAAAATGAAACCCACACCTTGCATATACATTTCACCCTCACTGCTCCTGAGAGCGCTCAAGGTTTCACCTGTCACGGGGCAAGCTGCCCAGCCCTCATCACCGATGTGGCCCGACCAGTAGGTGGGCTTGTCTTTGGAGCACTCCCGCTGCGGAGCTGCTTGCTGAATGCGTTCCCCCAGGCGTTGGATTTCTTCGTACCCGGCATTGGCGGCCAAAGCCCTCTCCACCTGGGACGTGGGACGATCCCTGCAAGGTCCGAGACGAAAGCGGGGAACCAGCCACACAGCAGATCTAGTGGAGATGTCCTGGATTGAGTTCTGGGGGTTCCAAAAGCCTCCAGTGTCACATGTCACACGTCACTGATGTTGAGTTTCAAAAGCGAGGAAACTGTCAAGGGGGTCATGTGACATGGGCCTTACCTGAAACCAGCGGCTTAAAACATCTTAAAACATGATGCGTTGGAAAACGTCAAAATGGCTCCATTGGATTCAGAAATCCCAAAAAGAATGGAGGCCAACATGCAGGGCCATTCCACCACTCCGCGTGATTCTCGTGTGGGTGCAATCAAGTCCACTGATCTAGAATATGTAAGTTGCCCACACCATGGCCACAAAATCTCGCAGTGCCACAAAATGTGAATCGACCATAGCCATATGACTCATATGACCTTCACGCCCAGTGACGAGCTCCAGCATCTCCGGGGAGAGCTGTTCCGGCACCACCTGCACCAGCTCAGCCAAGGCACCAAAGACCTTCCGGACGGTCCTCACCAATGCAGGTCGACTCAGAAAGCAGTCGGTCGCAAAAGATGCCACCCAAGCAACCAGCAAAAGCACCCTCTCAAAGGAGTTAGAGTCTGAGCCCATCACGGCTAATCCTCTTTAGGGAAATATGTGCGTGGCGGATCCCTGCGCTGGGTGAGCGAGACTGGGATTCGATGTCTTCGAACCCCACGCGTCCTTGAGCTTTCATCATCTTTGAGCGCTTGTTCAAGCAGCTGCGGCACACGAGCTTCCACCAAGCGGGCCGCACGCTGCATGCATCCAACATCTTCCCCCCGGAAAAGGCTGCCCAGTGCGCCAATGGCTTGCCGCTTAGCGCTTGCCTTGGAGAACTGCAACTTCAAAGCACTCCCTCCCCACAAAACGGAGTCAGCTTTAGGACACCTCACGCAACTCACAGATCGGCTAATCCTACCCAAACAAACTCCGGGGATGGTTGCGCGCATGTGTGCTTTTGTGTAAGTGCGACGCTCAAATGCATATTCTGCAACTGCACTTGCTTGCCTTCTTCTCATACCAATGATCTCCCGCTTGTCCTCCTTCCGAGCTGCCTTCTTGGACACAGCAGCTTTCACCAGCACCTCTACTGCTCCCTCCGCAACGGCCCCGTCCTTCCGACTGCAGCTCTCTGGATCTGCTCCAGCGCCTGAGATTGGCCAGCCCCCCCCCTCCAGAGCGTGCAGACGCTTCACACCCCTTCTTACATGTTCATACTGTTGATGGTCCACCACCAAGCAGGCACACCTACAAACATGCCACCTGGCTCGTGTTTCCTAGTCAATTTCAATTTAGCAGCCCATGACGAATGCCGACACTGAGAATTTGGCCAACCTTGAGACTGACGCCCCCCCGTCAGCCGGAACAGGGTTTTGAAGGTCTCACCCCAGAACTGCCAGTTGCGGCCCAAAACGCACCTCTAACCTTAGGTTGGTATCCTTAGATCATGTGCCCTATGATGCACCATGCCGATTCAAAAGCCCAAATCAACATCTTGCAGCACTTGGAAGCCAAACTCCACGGCACAGAAGGCAGCAAAGGCCTGGCTGCCCCAGTCTTGGATTTGTCCATTCTGCTCATGCTGCTTCATGGCTGCGGCAATCAGCCTAGGAGCTTCAGCTTCAGCAGCGGCCCGCTCATGTCCGCCACAAAGGGACAATTTCATGCAACCCCACTTTTGGACCTAAGGGCAGTCCATGACAATGTGAGAGAATTGCGAGAACTTCTACCCCAGGAGGAATTTCCACAACAGCCTCTCAGTTTCAAGAAAAACACCAAAAAATATGGCCCTCTGTGTCTTCAAACATGAAGAACATTTGCCCCAAGGGCATGTCCAAACCATCCCTCCGTTTGGACAATCCGCACCTCGGGGTTCTCCGGCAGCGCGGCCATGGCCTGGCAGGCATGAAGCAGTTCAGGGATAGTGACCTTGGTGACCGCTAGGGCGAACTCCTCCTGTTCTCTGGGCGTCGGGGCGAGGACGTCTCACCGCGGCGAAAATGCCGGCTTGGCCGGCTTACCTGATGGCTTCTGCAGCGTCAGCGACCAGGCGTCGCCAATGTAACCCCCTTCAATACTGCCACCGAAGACGAGCATGTAGTTGCTCCACACCACTGCTGAGTGACAAATGCGTGGTTCAGGCAGGTGGCCTTTCACGCTGTGGGACTTCCATTCGTTGGTTGTGAGGTCAAGGCTCCAGATGTCATTTGTATACGGTTCATGGCCGGCACCGCCAAAAACAATGATGTGATCGGCGGCCCATAGCGCAGCCGAACAGAAACGGCGGGGTGATGGGGGCTCACCCTTGACACCTAAGAGTGCCAGTTGAAATGCCATGCCTGGTTTGTCCTGCCCTTAGAGGACGAACCACCAAACACCACCATGTGGTCAGACCAGACCACAGCAGAGTGTCCGTGAAGGCGGCCAGGAAGGCTCCCCTTGGGGCTCAGCAACGTCCACTGCTGGGCTTTCAAGTCCAGTGTCCACATGTCGTCCAAGGTTTCTTGTTCGTCGCGCCCACCGAACATCATCATCACATCCTTCCACAACACCGCTGAGTGATCCCAGCGCCCCTTGGGGCCTTCACCGCTGGGGCTCAACAACTTCCACTTGCGACTTGAGAGGTCCAACAACCATGTGTCGGAAAAAAATCCTTCAGCATCATCGTCTTTACCGGCGAACATGATCATCTGGCTCTCCCACACGATGGCAGAGGGGTTCTCCCGTCCCGGTGGCGAGTCACCCTCGGTGATGAACAGAGCCCACTCTTGTTCTCTGAGCTTGAAACTCCACATGTTGCATCCGGTGCTCCTTCCCAACCCCCATAGATGATCATCACATCCTGCCACACCACCGCGCAGTGGCGGAATCGCCTCCTCGGGGTCTCCCCCTTGGGCCTCACCAAAGACCATTCTCCGACCTCCATGGCGAACCCTTCGTCCGAATCCGACCGGCAGCACCACCACCCCTGGCGGAGCCACGTGAGCATGGGTGGTTGCTGCGAATCGCGGTCAACCAGACCAAGCAACAGAACAAAAACAAACAAGTGGTTGCGATATCCACACCAAGCCATATCCAAATATCGCGGTCAAAAGGCTTATCCAAATGGTCCACCAAAAAAAAAAAAAAAAATATTTTTGCATCTGAGAGCTCATAGAACCCGGTGCTGTCTGCTTCTCCCTGCCCCTGCTGTTCTCTTTGCACAGGTCCTCTTCCCCAAAGAAAACGTCCTCGGACCCACATCAACAGCTGGGTCAGGTGGTAGGTCCCCAAAGATGGAAGCAAAAAGAACGTGGTCCCCAAAGATGGAAAGCGGCTCGCATCCCCTCTCCGAGTTTTTTTGGGAAGATCCAGCCACCGCACTGGGGGTGCCCCGCGCCGAGACCGGCGTCGAAGCTCACAAGCGCCTTCTTCTCCTGGGCCACGACTGAGAGCGGATGTTGCGTCAAAGCCAAACGTCTCGTTCGTTCACAGTGGGTTCCTCCTTACTTTCGCTCACCAGCATGCATAATAACAACCTCAAGCTATCTTAGTCTCTATCTACAGTATCTTAGTCGCCATCTGAGTGTCTACAGTAACTATGACAGCAATTATCTTGAGAGGTGTGCTCGAGGGAAAAAATCATCTTCTTTACTGCTTTACAATATGACATCTGGGTGCCACATGCTAGCTGCTGCTAGCTGCTAGCCAGTCCCATCAGTATGGGCAGAGTAACCGCATGTTTGACATTGGATTTGCGTGCCATGTTTGGTTTGGCACACGGTTTTCTTGGCGGCCTCCGTGGTGACAAGAATCCGTGGAACCGATCTTCAAAAGCATGGTGCTACATAGTAGCTACTGAACCGCCTCCCGACTTTCGTATCTGATTTCGTTCATGATATCAATTTTCAGCCACACCACAGAAGTGTGAAACGATGATTCATTCGATTCATCAGGCCGATTCCCTCTTAAAGCCTATCAAGTACTCAGCGTATGTCATTGTTCTCTTAAAGGAGATGACCTCGCAATTTCTGTACACAGAGCGTCCAGTGGATTCCGACGTGGGATTCACCACCAGGGTGTCGTGTGGTACCGTTCAGGTGGCGTAGTGCCAGGAATCTTAACCAGCTGCTTAAGGTCTGCGTTGAAAAACATCTCTTCCCCACTGATATTGCAGAATGCCAAAAGGTATGCGGGACAAAAGACACACACATATATACACACACCTGGTTGATGTGTTCAGCTCAAACCCGGGGTGACTTCAGCTCCCTTCGGCTCAAGGCCGAAGAAAACGGGAAGAGTTCAAGCCTGGACTAGGGGAGTTCAGTTGCACCCAGAGAGGTTGAGGGACCTGAACGGACTCTATTTATATAACTGGTAGTGGTACAGATGGCATAGGCGAAAAAGAGCTGCGAAAAATAGAAACCCCTCTCAGAAGGGCGCTGGCTTCTTCAATCGCGACCACATCCTGGGCTCCCTCGCGTTGAAGTAGGGCCGCTCCAACAGACGTGTGCTTTTGAGCATCTAAAAGGCTCTGCACGAACCCAAAGCAAGAAATCATAGACGGCTACAGTGGGTTCAGTACTTAAAAAGTGGTTCGGCGCCCAGGTGCAGCGGCCAAGAGATCTTGGAACTACAGACCTGATCACGACGATACCCCTCCCCCTCTCTAAACTGCTTGGATTCCAAAACCACTAGCTTGGACAAACAGATGCCCCATTCCACCACAACTGGTGCCACAATCCCAGCTCCCAGCCCAACTTCACCAACCCAAGCAGAATTTTCCTCACCAACTCCACGCAGGGGTGCGGCCCCACACCCCACAGGGCTGCAAAGGACCGCACACCCTCGTCCATCCCTCGTTTTGGGCGAGAGAGAGAGAGAGAGATTGATTGATTGATTGATTGATTGATTGCACAACCGGCAACACAACCCGTTCTTTATTCAGTACCAAGACTGTTGCATGACAGAACCACGGTGGCAGTTGTCCTTCACAACTTCATTCTCCCACTCCGCAAGAAGGCATCCCATACCATAATCTTGACTGTTGATTGACGAACAAAACCTAAGTAGCAGGATGGTTCTAGTTCTACGTCCACATCATCTCCAATCTTAAAACAGTCCACATTCTTAACGCTCACGTCGTTTCATCCCATGTGGGCCGCCCTGCGGAAGACATCGAATCGACGGCCGCCGCCGCCGCCGTAGCCGAAGCTGCTTGAGATCCAAGGCCCCTTCCACCTCGCCCATGAAGAAGAGCAGGAGAATCTACCGGCTCTGTGCTTGCTTGTGATCTCCAAAAATGGAAACAGCAGAATCTACCAAATCTGATCTGTCATGCGTGCTTCTTTATTGTATGCATGTCAGGCTATGAAGCACCCCAACTGCTGATGGACCAAATTCTTGTGGAGTCCCAGCCATCACTGAGGGTGAAGGAAGTAATAAAAAAAACTCGGCCAGCCTTCATTCCTATCGCACGGGGCGCCATGAAACAGACGCACAGCGCATCCCCTTCTAAAAGTCTTTCAATTCGTGAAGTGAACTATCCCTGTTTTGGGGGGATCTAAGCAGCGAAGCTTTGGTCGTCTTCATGGCTGCCCAATGTTTCTTCAAGCTCTCTTTGCAACCCACCGGATCTCCCTCTTTAGGAAACTGACCCGAACTTGAAGTGATGGGGAAGCATCTGAGGCCTTGATCTCTGGACTTTGCCCTTGGCTGCGGCTGGTCCTCTTCCGTGGCTCGCCTGACCCCCAACTGGTCTCGTTCAGCAACTCCCCTCACGAGAGGAGTCCAGCAGGGGTCTGCAGATGGAAGATAGGGCCGATGGCCCAAAAGAGGAAGGACTCATACAGCAGAGTGCCAGTCCGATCTTCATGCACCAAGGCAGCAAGGAATTTGGGTGCCTGTTGGGTTTGGCAACCGAGCAGTCCTGGCAACCCATGCGATGAATTTCCGAAAACCTGGGTGGGGACCCAACGAGCTAAAAACCATGGCCGCGCCATCTCTACAAGACCATGGCTTCGGGAGTCCAAGAATTGGCCAGGTAAGTCCATCCCACAGAATTGTACGTCCTCCATCAGTTGAGCCACTGCTGATGTGGGCATCAAATCGCCCAGATCTGAGCGTCCGAAAGCTTCGCTGCTCCGCTGGATTCCCAGCCAAGCGACCAGGGCTGAAGCGAATCGAACATCTACCATGTGCACATTCAGAACAAAAAAGTCGGAAGGTTGAGTGCCTTCCTTCAGCGCTTGACCGTGATTTGATCCCCAGCTTCATCGCCCCCTCGAATTGAAAGCGAGGGTCCTAGAGGGCATAGAGGCCTAGAGGTGCTCCGCGTGTCCGGGCCGAGCTGATCACTTGATACCAGCGTGTCCTCGAAATACCGGCTTTTCTGCCAGAAGTCTGCTACCCAAAAGAACATCTGATCACGGCAAAATTTGCCTTTTGCCCAATCAGTCGGAGCAAGCTCTTGCGGTTTGAAGCACATACAGCCTTTCAGAAATAGATATCACTGGGATGAGGCAAGTGGTTGGAATACCCAAAATGGCACTTGGATTTATGACATTCTGATTATATAATAGCATTCAGATCTGCACTGGATTATATGTTCCCATTGGTCACTGGAATTCAGAACACAAGCCACCACCTAGCTGCAAAGTGTTTAAACCATTTTAAATCCCTTCCGGAGGATGGCTCCATTTTTACGCACTGGGGTCTTCATGTCACAGGCATTGGGGAACAATTGATTCCCACGCCCCATCGAGCTGACCCTATACTAGGCTATATCGGACCACTTAGACCACGACCACTTGCCTCTTCGCGCTCTCTCCCTCTCTCTCAGCCCAGCCGAGCGGTCACAAGTCCATCTTGAAGACCTTCACCGCCAGCACGATGCCTGGACGACGCTCCGTTTTCAGGCTGATTTGAGGAGGTGAAACGGGGTGGAGGGCGGAGTTCCTCACAAGGTCACCGCGGAAAAAGAAAATACTTCAAACAAGTTCAACATCTCTCCAAGTTTGATACAAGCAAAGTGATGAAAAATAGCCCAGTTCAAGTGCAAATCTCCCCCTACCCACTCATTCACTCACTCAACCACAAGGCCCACCACCGCACCCCTTCAGCAGCAGGTCCCCCATGTCCGGGAACACTAGTCACTACATTCCCACCACCCACTCTCAAACCCACCCGAACTGAACGGCACACCAGCACTTCCAAGCCGGACGCGAGTTACACTCCCCCCACCCCACCCATCTTCACCCCTCACCTACTCCACCTGCCTCCACCTACTCCACTCAGATCGGCTTTTTCTCTCCGAGGCGCTGGTGCCGAAGCAGAGCAAGGCCACCCCCAGGCCGGTGAGCAGCCGCGCGCCGTGGCGCCCCTCGAAGCGGCCGAAGACCTCCGTCACGTCCGTCTCCTCGACGTGGAGGGCGTGGGGGCGTCGAACGAGGAGGGCGAGAGGGATGGTGGATGTGCCGTAGGGAGGGCAACTAAGATGGGTGAACGAAGGGAGCGAAGAAATGGAAGAGATGAAAGGTCTGGCCCAGATGGGTCCGGACTTGGCGAAGCCAAGCCAAAGCGTGCATGCAGTCCTGCAACCGTGTAGGGCGGAGGGCACGTCTTTGGGTGCTTGGCCACACCTCATCGCTCCGGCCGTCCTCTCCCGCAGCTCGGGGCAAACCTACCCGGCGGTCCTTGCTCTGACTCGCTGAGAAGGTCCACATGATCATCAAGCCTCGACAGGCCGCAGCCCACCACGCGTCGAGGTGGGATGCGGCGGGCCACTCTGAGAACATCAAGTGGAAGGAACTAGCCCCCCTTCCCAAGGGAAGAGAAGACTGTTCCTGAAGAGATGTGGAGATCACCTGATGTGCATTCGCCATGGGGCATTTTACCAGCCCAGAGTGAGGTCACGAACAGGTCTTGAACAGGTCACGTCTACCAATCCTGAAGAGGTCACTGGGTGTCAGTCCTGCTAGCAGTTCTTCACATGTTTCACCCACAGCTCTCCAGGTCCACCTCTTCGAACCCACTGGGGAACCGCTTCAGCCCTGTCTGTGTCCGCCTCTCATCTTCCAACCATTGGAGGGAAGAGTCGGCTTTCACACTGTCCACTCCACCATGGGTACGATGATGGTGTACCGCCGTTCGCCCGGCAGGGCTGTCCCAACCCACTTGACGGAGCATTGGATGTCTGACATCAAAAGGATCACGCCACACCGCGCCGCGCCGTTTGGAGTGCATCCAAACGATCCAAACGACAAACCCCCCAAAAAACCCATCGCCATCGTTCCAATCGGCCTGAGCCGAGCCTGAGCCGAGCAAAGCACCGGAGACGCAAGCGAAACCAAAAGGCGCTTGGTCCGGCGGACGCGGCTGCTTTCGCGGAGGTGTCACGGCGGGTCGTCACGCGGACCGCGGCAGGTCACGCGGCCTGGGAAGATGAGCTCGATGAGGGAGCCCAGCGTGGCACCGCCCAGGGAGTTCACGATGCCCAGGTCCGTCAAGACCGAGCCCAGTAGGCCTCGCCACCGGCACCGGTGCGCAACGAAATGAGGTGTGCTTTTGAGCATCGGCAGGCTCTGCACGAACCCAAAGCAAGAAATCATAGACGGCTACAGTGGGTTCAGCACTTAAAAAAGTGGTTCGGCACCCAGGTGCAGCGACCAAGAGATCGAACTACAGACCTGATCACGACGATACCCCTCCCCCTCTCTAAACTGCTTGGATTCCAAAACCACTAGCTTGGACAAACAGATGCCCCATTCCACCACAACTGGTGCCACAATCCCAGCTCCCAGCCCAACTTCACCAACCCAAGCAGAATTTTCCTCACCAACTCCACGCAGGGGTGCGGCCCCACACCCCACAGGGCTGCAAAGGACCGCACACCCTCGTCCATCAGGGCGGCCCCCGGAAGCAAAAAACAGCAATGAATTTATGTCGTGGATTGGGCATAGGTGAACCCAAAAGAGAAGAACCAATTGGACCCCAAAACAAGTTCTTGAAAAAAGAGAGAGAAAGAAAAAGAGAGAGAGAGAGAGAGAAAGAAAGAAAGAAAGAAAGAAAGAAAAAAAGAAAGAGGGAGAGCTTGCAACGAGAAGCTCGCCTTTCAACCAGCAACACGACCCGTTGTTCATTCGGTATCAACACTGTGGCATGACAGGCAGAGCTACCACCAATAACAGTTGTCCTTCAACTTCATTCTCAGGCATAATCTTGACTGACTGTTGATTGACGAACCAAACCTAAGTAGCAGGAAGGTTCTACGCCCACATCATCTCCAATCTTAAAACAGTCCACATTCTTAACACGGTGGGCCGCCCTGCGGAAGACATCGAATCGACGGCCGCCGCCGCCGCAGCCGAAGGTGCTTGAGATCCAAGGCCCCTTCCACCTCGCCCATGAAGAAGAGCAGGAGAATCTACCGGCTCTGTGCTTGCTTGTGATCTCCAAAAATGGAAACAGCAGAATCTACCAAATCTGATCTGTCATGCGTGCTTCTTCTGTTATTTATTGTATGCATGTCAGGCTATGAAGCACCCCAACTGCTGATGGACCAAATTCTTGTGGAGTCCCAGCCATCACTGAGGGTGCAGGAAGGAAAAAAAACTCCGCTAGCCTTCGCACAGGGCGCCATGAAACAGACGCACAGCGCATCCCCTTCTAAAAGTCTTTCAATTCGTGAAGCGAACTATCCCTGTTTTGGGGGGATCTAAGCGGCGAAGCTTTGGTCGTCTTCATGGCTGCCCAATGCCCTCTATGCAACCCACCGGATCTCCCTCTTTAGGAAACTGACCCGAACTTGAAGTGATGGGGAAGCATCTGAGGCCTTGATCTGGACTTTGCCCTTGGCTGCGGCTGGTCCTCTTCTGCGGCTCGCCTGACCCCCAACTGGTCTCGTTCAGTAACTCCCCTCACGAGAGGAAGGTCTGCAGATGGAAGATAGAGCCGATGGCCCAAAGACGAAGGACTCATACAGCAGAGTGCCAGTCCGATCTGCTTGCACCAAGGCGGCAATGAATTTGGGCGCCTATTGGGTTTGATGTTGTGGGGGCCAAGTGCCACGAAGAAAGACATGAAAAGTAACAGGGGACTGTATTTATACCCGGGCGTTATGCTCGCACCGAGCAGTCCTTGCAACCAATGCGATGCATTTCCGAAAACCTGGGTGGGGACCCAACGAGCTATATAAAAACCATGGCGGCGCCATCTCTACAAAACCATGGCTTCGGGACCTTCGGGAGTCCAAGAATTGGCCAGGTAAGTCCATCCCACAGAATTGTACGTCCTCCATCATTTGAGCCACTGCTGACGTGGGCATCAAATCACCCAGATCTGAGCGTCCGAAAGCTTCGCCGCTCCGCTGGATTCCCAAAATCTACATCTCCAGGGCTGAAGCGAATCGAACCTCTACAACGTGCACATTCAGGACAAAAGGTCGGCAGGTTGAGTGCCTTCCTTCACCGGCTTGACCGCGATCACGCCCAATCCCCAGCTTCATCGATTCATCCCCCCCTCCAAATGCTCCGCGTGTCGGGGCAGTGCTGATCACCTGGTGCCAGCGTTTCCTCGAAGTACTGGCGACTTCTGCCAGAAGTCTGCAGCAAAACATCAGCTGCCTGGTTCTTCAGTACGTGACCTACCTTGATCCCCTGGTTGGTTCGGTCACGAAAGGGCCCGGAACAGGTCACTGGTTGGCGTCCCCAAAGTTCGGTCACGAACTGAAGAAGCTACTGCCCAGGCCACATCCTCAACCCTAGACTTCCAAGACCATTAAAAAAATGGTTGACCTGGTTTTTGTAGTGTAACATCCTTAGTTGATTCGGGATTCAGCCTATTAAAATAATGGTTGTTGGAAGCCTAGGGTCAAGATTTCTGTCAAACATACTGGCAGCTGCCCAAAAGAACATCTGACCACGGTCCCGGCGAAATGTGCCTTTTGTCCAATCAGTCGGAGCAAAGCTTTTGGTCTCCGGAGCGCGGTTTGGAGCACAGACAGCCTTCCAGAAATAGATATCACTGGGATGACGATCCAGCCAGAGGCAAGTAGTTGGAATACCCATAGGGCCCTAGGCCAAGTGGATTTACATTCTGATTGAATATAAGAGCAAGTAGCTGGAAGACAGGGGATTTGCACATTCAGATCTGCACTGGAAGATATGTTCCCATGGGTCACTGGAATTCAGAACACAAGCCACCACCTAGCTGCAAAGTGTTTAAACCCCCTTCCGGAGGATGGCTCCATTTTTACGCACTAGGGTCTTCATGTCACAGGCATTGGGGAACAATTGATTCCCACGCCCCATCGAGCTGACCCTATACTAGGCTATATCTGACCACTTAGACCACGACCACTTGCCTCTTCGCGCTCTCTCCCTCTCTCTCAGCCGCGCCGAGCGGAGGTCACAAGTCCATCTTGAAGACAGTCACCGCCAGCACGATGCCTCGGAAGTGCACGCAGCGATGGCTGGAGATGGCTCGAGATGCATCGTGAGGATGGGGAAGCGGGAGAAGGAAGCTGGACGACGCTCCGTTTTCGGGCTGACTTGAGAAGGTGAAATGGGTTGGAGGGCGGAGTTCCTCACAAGGTCACCGAGGAGAACATACTTCCAAACAAGTTCAACATCATAACATCTCTCCAAACAGCCCAGTTCAAGTGCAAATCGCCCACCCTCCTTTCCCAGCCACTCAGCATCCTTACTCAAGAAACCACAAGGCTCAGGTTCCCTATGTCCAACCCCACCCTCAAAACCCCCAAACTCAACGGCACACCAGCACTTCCAAGCCGGACGCGCCCCGAGTTACACTCCCCCCACCTCACCCATCTTCACCCCACCTACTCCACCTGCCTCCACCTACTCCACTCAGATCGGCTTCTTCTCTCCAAGGCGCTGGTGCCGAAGCAGAGCAAGGCCACCCCCAGGCCGGTGAGCAGCCGCGCGCCGTGCCGCCCCTCGAAGCGGCCGAAGACCTCCGTCACGTCCGTCTCCTCGACGTGGAGGGCGTGGGGGCGTCGAACGAGGAGGGCGAGAGGGATGGTGGATGTGCAGTAGGGACCTTAGGGCCACCGAGATGGGTGAACGAAGAAGAGAGACTGGTCTGGTCATGTCTGGTCTAGACGCTTAGACTTAGACTTGGCTAAGCCGTGAAACCGTGCATGCAGTCCTGCATGTGTAGGGCGGAGGGCTCGTCTTTGGTTGAGTTGAACCCTCGCCCCTTTGGCCACTCCAGCCATCCTCTCCCAGCAGCGATCTCCCCGGCATTTCGGCAGCAAAAAACCGGCGAAAACGATGGGCTGCTGGTCCTTGCTCTGACTCGCTGAGAAGGTCCACATGATCATCAAGCCTCCACAGGCCGCAGCCCACGCGGGGCCGAGGAAGCGGCGACAGCGCCACGCAAAGGAGTGCATCCAAACGATCCAACAACCATAAAACCCAGAGCATCCCAATAGCATCGTTCCAATCGGCCTGAGCACAGCAAGCGAGACACAGCTGGTCCGCTGGTCGTCACGCCACGCGGTCGTCACGCGGGCGCGGCAGGAGCGCGGCCTGGGAAGATGAGCTCGATGAGGGAGCCCAGCGTGGCGCCGCCCAAGGAGTTCACGATGCCCAGGTCCGTCAAGACCGAGCCCAGTAGGCCTCGCCAACGGCATGCCCCACGAACGAAGCGATGCGTAGTAGGTACAGTATGGAGCGAGGCGAGAGAAACGCGCCGATCTTGAAGAAGCACGCCGAGTGTTTCTTCCAGCCGTGGCCGTGGCAGACTTCGAACCTTTTTTTGAACAGTACATGACGTGACTGGAATGATGTGGCACTCCGGAACACTTTCGCGAGCTTGCGACCTGAGCACCTCCCCCTTACTTATTCAGAACCGAACGAGGTCGCTTTTCGGGCGCCACACGAGCGCCCGAGAGAGCGCCGAAAAGTGGACTACGTTGTTTGCCGGATCAGGGGGATCAGGGCTGGTCTTCCAGTATGCACAGCCTCGGAATCACCCGAAAATGCTCTTCCAATGGATGTTCCAATGGATTCCTCGCGAACCGTCGCCGCCTTCATCATTGCAAACAGGGGTGTCCTGTCTGGAGATCCCTGGTAGTCGTGTAGGCGCTTCCATTGGTGACCCCTTAAAGGTGCTGGATGGTTTGTCGTAGGTCGCGCTATCAAGTTCTTATGAGACCAAGGTGTGAAAGAATTTGGAATAGTGGCCATGGATTTTTAGTTAAGTTATGGCGTCATATCATTCATGCCTAGCAAAAGACCCTCAGCGCAGCGCAGCTCGCACGCCCCTCTTTCGGTCCTTCAAAGTGGATCGTGCAAGAGGGTGGGGAGAACGTCACTTGGATCTGGTCAAATCATGAACCCAGACATGACACCTGTTTGGATAGGAAGTTGGGCCAGATTTGGGATGGCCATTCCAAAACGGAGAGCGTTTGATCCACTCAGCTTCCAGCTGGCGGGCGAGAAAGAAAACGGGGCCCATTGGTTCGCACCCACGTGTTTTGCCAGTGAAGTACTGGATGGCTGTCTTTCTTCCTCTCAGCGACTCGTTTTCCTGCCTGCCAAATAGGTAGCCACAAACCAGTGGTTTTCAGGGGTCCATGGGCAGC